TAAACTTATGCAATATCGATAAATCAGAACATTCCAGAGCAAAACTAATCTAACTAAAATATTTTTTTATAGAATAAAAGTTGTATTTTTATGCAATATCTTTGTTATATTTACTGTCTTATTAGAACAGATTGTTCCTTGTTATCATTTAAGTATTGTTTGATAATTCTCAACTATTTAAAAAAACAACCCCCGGTCAGATATCCAAGCTTGTTGTTTAATTTATTTGATTTGGTTCATTAAATATTTTAAATATAGCAAAAGCATAAATAAAGCTGTATAGTAACAAATTATTTGACAAACACGTAAAATTTAACAATGTTGCTTATCAAATTGTATCGCATATTGGGCGCACTTCTAGTATTTTAATATATAAGTAGATAAATGCTATTATTTTCTTTATAGATTAGAAGAGTTGCAAGTGAGCGACAACGAGTTAAAATCCCTGGATTGTGTGTTGAGGCTACCGCGACTCCGCACACTTGTCGCCGTCCGAAATATGATCACAAGCTTTGAGGTAAGTCTATCTTATTTCTTACTCTTACTAATATTATAAATGCAAATGTTTAGAAGGATGGATGACTGGATGTTTGTTTGTAGGTATCTCTGGAACGGCTTAACGGATATAGCTGAAATTTGGTTTAGTGGTGTAGAACGTAGTCTGAATGAACACATAGGCTATTTATTAGGTTTTTTTTAAAAATTCCGGACGGACGAAGTCTCAGGCGACAGCTAGTCATTAATATGGTTATTTAACATTTTTAAATATTTAACATTTTTATATAATATTTTTTTTTATTATCTTGCCCTTTGATCGTAATTTTTGTCATGTCTGTACATTCATCTGAGTAAAAAATAAACTATTCTTATTATACTAGTGAAGTTTTTTTATAAGTTTGAAAGTTTTATAATTACGAATGTAAGTTCAACTGATTTTAGATGTAGAGAATTTAGATGTTATTGTTTTTTGTCCAGAATAACTCGCGGCAAATGGGAACTGAGGATGACAATCGGTCGCAGCACCGCGCCCCACTCACTACAGTCGATCTCAGGCACAATAGGTTGAAAGGGAGCATCGTACTTGGTAACTATGAAGTAAGTGTCCATTTTCTCTAAAACGCTTTGATAATCTTTGCCTTTGGAATATTTCCACAGCCAAATGATGCAACTGAAAGGAACAAGTACTTATAATGTAAAAAATATGATAAAACACTTGTATTATGATTTAAAAAATCTATAAAATACACACTCGTAGCCCTAGATGTCTAGGCACATATCATAGGTTTCTATTTTACGCAATTCTAGCGATTAAATGTTTTTAGAATTGATTCAATCAGAGTAATTCCTTCAAATTAGGGACCTTCAAGAAGCGAACATACCATTTCCTTAAAGGCCGGCAACGCGTCTGCAGTTCCTCTGGTGTTGCAGATGTCCATGGGTATCGTTGATTACCTCGGTGTTCTCGCCGCTCGTTTGCCCCCTTTCTCTTATATAAAAAAAGTAGAATTGTTCTTAATTTAATAAAATTTACTTTCAGCATTTAGTGACGTTAGATATATCTCACAACTCTGTCGAAGTGTTGGTATTATCTGCACTACGCGGTCTGAGGGAACTGTACGCGTCACATAATGCCCTGCAGCATCTAGCATTGCACGGTGGTGCGCTAAGAATTTTACGAGCCCCACATAATCGTAAGTTTTTCTCTATATACATTAGTATATTACCATATAATAGTATCTGGTTGAACATCTCTTTCAATTTATAATATCGAGATATTATAAAATCATCGTCGACTATGATTGAAAAACATTTACAATATTCTCCAACCGGCCTCATACGACAGTATTAAATTATGAAACATAAATTGTTTTAAACTGATATATAAACACGGCTAAATACTCACGTATATTCGTCTGGTGGCGGCACCGACTAGTTTCGAGTATTATTTCGCTCACTGGGCGACGGGCCGCGTCCGCGAAATAATACCAGTACCACTCATCCTGCTGAAGGGCCCCCGATGGGCTCGAAACTAGTCGGTGCCGCCACCGGACGAATATACGTGAGTGTTTAGCCGTGTTTATATATCAGTTTAGTATAATGTCTCACGAAAGTTTGAATAATTTAATAAAATGTTTTATTTCATTTTAGAAATGGAGACGTTAACAACGAGCGTGCCACCTATCAATTTAATAGAAATAAACGTATCACATAACCGTTTGACTTCGCTGCCGCAGTGGCTCAGCGGGTGCTCCGACCTTACGACCCTACATGCCAGTAATAACTATCTGACCTCGCTACCGGAACATTTGTTCTGCAGTGAACTCTCCAGTCTCAGTAACTTACACCTTGCCCATAATAAAATATCAAACATACCCTCGATGCCTCGCTTAAGGTCACCTTTAAAAAAACTTTTACTACACGATAACTGTATACAAACTTTACCAGAGAATTTCTTCACAGTGTGTGACAGATTAAATATTCTAAATTTATCTAATAACAGACTCAGTCGATTACCCCGAGCGAGGGGACCGGCATCGCATTGCTTGGAGCGTCTCTATTTAACAGCAAATTGTCTAACAGATGATGTTGTGGATGTAATCATTGCATTTCGGCGATTAAAAATACTTCATCTGGCGTACAATTGTTTGACGAGTTTACCTGATAATTCATTCAACTTTTGGCTTGAGATCGAAGAACTGGTGGTTTCCGGCAACTGTCTAACAAAACTTCCGGATAATTTACCGCAGCTTAATAACATACGTGTAGTACGCGCACATTCAAACAGATTACGATCAGTACCTATGTTCGCATGCAGCGCATCCGTTAAGATATTAGATTTTGCTCACAATGAACTTGACACTGTGGATCTGAGGTTGCTGGCTCCGAAACAATTAAAATTCCTCGATATATCCTGCAACAAAAAGTTGCAAGTTGATCCATCGCAATTTACATCGTATAGATGCCAACGACCATTAAGTTTGGTTGATGTTACTGGTAGAAATTCGCTGCCATGGTCCCAGAAGAGTGGATATCACGAAGAACTAAATGGAGTTACACCTTGGAGTACGGGATTTTCTGAATGTCCTAATAAATTATTACAATTGTCTTGTGCCCAAATTAGACTTCCTTCATTTTGCAATAAGGAAGGGCTCTTTGCGATAATCGATGGTGAAACTAATACTGAAGTCCCGAGAATACTCCAGTCAAGCTTACCAGGCCTTCTTCTAGAAGAGAAATCAATTAAAGAAACTGTTAATGAATATATGAAATATGTCGTGTTGTCAGCTCATAGAGAATTAAAAGAGAAAGGACAGAAAAAAGGAGCTTGTCTGATTATGTGTCATTTATCACCAATTAACCAACCTGAAAATGGATTTGGCAATCATTTAAAAAGATATAATATGAGACTCGCAAATGTCGGCGACACTCGTGCTGTGTTAAGCAGACGTAATGGTCCTTTGAGTTTAGGAATAGAAAACAATAAGCGTTTAGGTTATTCTTCTCGCTACCCAAATACAGTACCTGATCCCGACGTCATCCAAACTATTATTAAAGATGACGACGAATTTTTAATTTTAGGAAATGGAACATTTTGGAATGCTGTTAGTGTTGAAGCAGCTGTATCGGAAGTACGCGCCGAAAGGAATCCTGTCCTAGCAGCAAAGCGTTTACAAGATTTAGCCCAGAGTTATGGAGTAGAAGACTGCATTTCAATTTTAGTAGTACGTTTCGATACAAGCGGTAGATCTGATGTAGATTTGTTGATGAGAGAATTGAGGCAAACAATTACAACGAATAAATCTTCGTGCAGGCCGGATTGTTGTTGTTCCAGATTAGAGCCTTGCTGTCATTCCATTACCCCACCTAAGCCCAGCAGTGATAGGTCTTCGCCAAGCGGTCAAAGTGATCTTCCGCCTATGGAAATTGTCAGTACTCAGCATTACGCAAGTGTACGATCACAGAATAGAGCTTCTGATCGAAAAAGCCGGGGCGGAGTTGCTCGAGCTATAAGAGTTCGTGTGGAAGAAGAAAAAGAAGACGAACAAAGAAAAGAAGAATCTCCTTCATCTGAAGAACAATTCAAATGTTGGGAATACATGTTAGAACAAAATACTCAAATGATATTTGACAAGGAATTGGACAATCTGTCTAAGGGGATAAAATCAAACGCAGGCACACTAAAAAACCTAAAAGGATTGTCAGGTAGTAGTCCTCAGTTACATCTCGCTGGCAAGCAATCAAAAGGTGTTCCATTTCTTTCTAAACATTTTGGTAGCGCTCGGTCATTTGGTACGGCACTAAAACCAGAATTCAGGTTCGGTTCTGGAAGAGTACCAAATGGCGGACCGAATGCTGCATATTTTGGTTCTCTCCAAAGACTGATGCCTTATCATTTAGAATACGACTTTGCTGTGATACAGGAAAAAGGAGCACAATCACAAGAATCCTTAGATCTGGAAGGTCGTATGCAGCAATATTGGGGAGTTGCGACAACGGAACTGTAAATAGAAAAAGTGTTATGTAAATAAAATGTCATAAATTAGCATAGTAATATTTATGTACCATTTATATCTCGACTAGATTTTCTTGCACAAAGTATTATAATTTTGTGAACTTATCAATAAGCTTAATATCTAAATATGTATATGTTTTATTTACAACGTGATAGTGTCTATATTAAATATCTCTTAATTAAACAATAATATAAATAAAATATTATTTTAAAGAATTCTTAGTTTTATATTTAACATCAAATAGTTTTAAGTACAAATATATTACCAAAACTCCACTAAACTAACGTTGGTATTAAAATATTATATTTTTACCTTTGTGGATTATTTTCTTGATAATTCTAATAGCAACCAAAATATGAATACATACATAATAACATATTTATACGTATTATACATTTGCATTGATCATGTGAAATTATTTACACATCTTTATAAAGAAGTATACACACATTATTTTGTGCTTTATCTTTTTTACATTGTCCTATTTACAAGTTACCTTAATCTATAATTCTACTAAAATTGTTATAAATTTTTGTTTTCTTCTAGCACTCTTTAGATTACATTAGCTTTTTGACAAACACCAAACTAAACTGGGTTTTTGATATTTGGTTACACAAATCCTTTTTGTATGGTTGATACTGTCTGTCTTAACATATTATTGATCTTTAGGAAAGAATAAGGAAAAATTCTAAAACTTAATTATAGACAAGTTTTTGCAGATAAATCGATGGAGCTAATAATACATTCCCATTCTATTGTAAAAAGAGTTTTAATATTGCCGACTTTAAAATGCCTTTCCAAGTAAACTTCATGGGTTTGTATATTACTGTCACTTACTATTTACTTACATAATTCGACAAAAATTGACCATTTACCAAATATTCTAAGTCTCGTCACAATATCTCACGTTTTACATTCCTTTAAATGGTGTTTATAATTGCCGCATAGTATATATTTTCGTCCTTTCATTTATTTGGCTTGAAAGATGGTTGTACAAATTTGGATACCCTCCTTCCTATGCTTTGATATTTTCATTATGATAGTGTTGTACCTTTCCTAAATATTACGAAGTTTACGATGACCCGAAGTAGTAGCTTATAGATTTGTTTGTTTGCTTTCATTTCAGAAACTTTTCACTAATTATTATTATGCAATAAACTTCACTCACTATTCAAGTAAAAAGTCTGTCCTTTTAGTCCTCGAGACTTGGTTTATACATATATCATGTCACCATTAAATCACTTTTGTGGATTATTAGAGTTCACGTTTAACCACTAGCTCGAGGGGCTGTGAAGGGAGAGCGGGGGGCGGCGGATGCGCGGGGAGCGCGTGCGCCGGCGGTGGCCGGCGCTAGGGGAAGCCACGCGGTGAGTAGTGGTGGGGCTCCCCTAACCACGAGTCCGGCGACGGGGGGAAGTCTGGGTACCCGCCGGCCGCCGGGGACGATGAGCTGCTCATATCCGATGTTCCACCAGCGCCTCCAATGCCAGCACCGCTCATCGCTTGACCTGCATATTCATAATAATAATAAATTTTAAAAGGAGCTGAATGAACTGTACTTAAAAAAGGGTGTTTGTCCAGGACAAGACACATAAAAGACTGTGAGCTAGAAGAAGTAGTTAGACGAAATAATCTTCTTGTTTTTTCGAGGTCGTGACAGAATTAAAAATAGGGCAAATTCAGTCAATTCAATTCAGATACTCAAGTAATTGAAAACGGTACCAATATTGGTGTAGACGAGATGATCCGGGGGGTAGTGGTAATGTGCGTGGGGCGGCGAATGCGCGCGAAGGTACGGCGGCGTACCGCCAGCTCCGAAGCGCGCAACTGTGCCTGCAGCGCCGCCGCCAGCCGGCGAGCCCTCCTCGCCACCCAGCGCGACAGTGCTGTAGCTGTCGTTGCTTAGATCTGCAACCATATTATATTACCATCGATTAGTAATCAAATGTAATATAACTACAAAGTGTCCAGTGTGCATCTAATAGTGTAAATCAAACCTTCATAGTAAAATTCAGATAATATTTCAGGTTATTTCAAGAATTTTCTACACCTGTCAAATAGCTGGCACAGTAATTTTTGCCATTTTTTTGTTTTTTCTAGCATCAATGTTTGGGTTTGTTAACTGCTTAGCGCCACCTTGTATACATTGAATTTCTCACAAGAACTATTGAAGTTTTCATTACTTAATCCTATCTATAGCAAAACTTGTTTCGTACAATTTAAGTTAAAGAGGATTAAATATGTTGCGGCGATTTAATGTTTAGTGATCACTTATTATAAGCGGATTACCGTAAGCTGCAATATTGCACGAAACATGATTTTTCTTATCCAAAGTAAGTTGAATACACATATTATATTACACAACACTAAGTTAATATGTTTTAAGCGCCTTGACAATATTGTTTCTGAACACCGAGATATTATTTTTTGCTAAAACATTTTTCACAGGGACTTTTGCTAACTACAATAGTACATAAAGTATCACAAATGAACCGAGGATTGAGCTCTAAGTACGAAAATAAAATATCATTACTACATACCGTGATGGCTGAAGGAATCCAGATCGATTTTAAGCTCGTCCTTATCAAGCAGGCGATCATGTCTTGGCGAGCCGCCGCCAGAACTCTTCATGGAGCGGAAGTATTGTGACCACCGCGTTCGTCCCGCGTCCTTTTTCAATCGCTTTTCCTTCGCTCGTCTAAGTATCGTCAAATTGTATTAGGAAGGTATAATTTTCAATCAATTAAATGATAGGCAAAAGATGAAAATCGCTACTTCAATTCAACGAAAACCTAATAGTCATTCAGTCGATCGTTCCTTTTTACAATGTTTTATTAAGTATATGTTCTATAAAATTAAGTATATAAAACAGAAATCCCCAATCTGTCTAATGTTTTAGGCAACGGGGATGACTTTGTTAACAATATTATTTTCACGGTCTGCTAGTTTTGGATTAAAGTGAATAATAAGTTAAACAAACAAAACAGGTCGTATGGGAATGTTTTGCGTGGTAGGTTATTAGAGTGTCGACGGGGTACGGGCAATGGGAGAGGGAGCGGAGCGGGGGGTAGCAACAAAGGGCTTGATTAATTAAAGTGCCTCCGCCCTGTCCGCGGGGACAGAGCGCGTGCTGCGATATGCCCACCCTGGATTATTGGACAACCATTGTATCATTAATCCGTAAGTTTCCTGTGTGTGCAATGTGTTATGTATACCTACTTGTTCGTTAAATAGGTAAATATAAATTATTACTATTGTACTGAAATTTCACTTAATTCTTCTGGTGGCTGCGTTTACCCAGAAAGTAATATTCAAGTAATTAATTAGTTTGGTTCCCAAAATCTCCAATAATCGGTAGTTACGTTAGCGGCCTATTTGTAGAAAACCGATTAAAGTTTCCTTGCTTATATGCGTCTCCGATTCCACCACGGAAAATGTTAGGCTTCACGAGAATTTTTTAATTTATTATCTCGCACGTCATGAGAATTTTCATGGGAGGTGCGTGACTCCCGTGAGTCTAGGATGAAAATTTGCAAGAGAGTGTTCATAGCGGTGACATTTACAAAAATATTAGATTTCTACAGGGCCTCTATCGAGCCTCTATCGTAAAACGACAAATTTTATACAACTTTTGTCAAAATGTTGACTTCTGTTGTAAAATATCCACGAGTGCAAGTAAGGTGTACAATACATAAAGTATAGAAGTCGAGCGTTATGATAACGGAGCTAGGTTTACGAGGCGAGGCCAAAGAGCAGAGCGTGACGCGCACCGTGACCGCGCCCGATCGCGCGCGACAAAACATCGTTTCGCGTCTGTACCGTGCGGCAAATATCGATATTCCCAGCATTTGACTTTTAACGACAGGACCTGTGAAGGGGCACATATCCTTCTGCCAAATATAATTAAACAATAGACTCTATAGTACGACAACCTTATCTGGGTTGGTAAGGCCCAGTTATCTCGGTTAGTTCTATCAGAAACTATGTAAAACCTATAGAGGCATAGGAAATGATCTGGTTAGATAACTTTATCGGTCTATACACTTATTCGTTTGTGTGGTCTTTTTGTGTGTGTTACTTTTGGATATAATGCGCTGTTTAAGACGAAAGCTTTAGAATGTTTTGCATAAGTGTGGTTGTCTGCCGCAGCAAAAACTGGTTCAATACATTTAGTACAACGGCAGCTCTTTGCCTAGTCCATTTCTCTATAATCAAAGTCCACCGCCACCGCCATCGCATCGCATAGTGATGGGACAATGTATTAGTGATGTTACAATGCTTAATGCAACAATGCTACAAAGTTCGATTTTCATGTATCAAGGTTGTCGATACTGAATAGCAAGGTCTCGGCAGAATACCCAATATGTTCCATTCTATTCGCTAATTGCTATTGATCGCTTTATTATATTGCCCATTTCAAATGTCTGAAAGCGCTTTTTTATTAGTCTAGATTTAGTCTACAATTTAGAGAATATCAAGTATGAACATTTGTTTGCACGTAATAATCTGCATCTTTCCACTTTACCAAATCTATGATTATATTAGCCAGAGTAATAAAAAAATTAGTCGGATTTTAAAAAATCATGTAAAGTTGCCGCGTGAGTTTTATTGTGATATTCCAATTAATTTGTGTTGCTATTTGAACGTTTAGCTAAAGGCGCTCGTAAACTGTTAATCTATGTTTACGTCTTGTTAAATCAGCGACCATTTCAAAATCAACTGCCCCAACACACATACCCGGTGGAAATGCGCGTGTAAAATTGATTACGATACGAATATCTTGGTTTATTCATTTTAAATGTTCAAATGCAACGGCGCGAAGCGTATCATATTTCCGTTAAACATTTAGACGACTGAAAAGTCACTTAACAAAAATCTTATAACTACAAAGTGTAGTTAAAAGGAGCTCCTTCCTTCTGTCTTTCTCTTTTCTTTACATGAAAAGGTTGTGTGTGACCTCACCTCATATCCCTCCAAGGGGCTACAAGGGGTGCTTACTCAAGTTAAAGGTGACTAGGCCTAGGACATTGTCTAATAAACAACTAAGATGCTTCAGTACGCGTTAGTTGATATCACTTATGTCTTCCTTTTCTTCGTAGATACGTACAGGTACTTAGCTGTCTCATCCTCACACAAAACGTAAATCGAACGATAGTAACTTTCATAGTTGGCAACATATTGGTAGGTAACACATACTATGGGCTTACCTGTTTTGGAACCAAACTTGCACGACGCGCATATCAAGGCCAGTGTCTTGAGCGAGCTGCTCGCGAACGTGTCGTGCTGGTTTCGGACTGCTGCTGTACGCGCTCTTCAGCGTTTCCAATTGCTTGGCAGTGATGGTGGTGCGCGGCCGCTTACTCGCAGCGTCACCGTCCAGCGAACCCTCGCCTCCTTTTTGTTATACATTAATAAGGAGTCAAGACTAGACATGTATTCCGTACAAAGAGCATAATCACGCCTCGTTGGTCGTCTTTCTTGTAAAAATATCTTCAGTATAAAATTATATTAATCTGTACCAAGATTATCTATATATCCAATTGGAACGAATTCTCCATCGTTTTCTTTGTTCTACATTAAAGTTACATCTTCAACTCATCTGCTAGTTCTTATATTCATCATTTTAAGTATTTAATACGATATATGAATAATCGTTTGCTACTTTGTGGAAAATTCTCCAAGTACAATATATAGTTAGTAGATAAATGCTACACATACCTTTAGCCCTAGCAGCTTCGTAATCAGGCTTACAGACGAGTTTGCCGTCCTCCATCAGGTAGAATTCATCTCCGGTATTGAGGGTGCGGGCGCAGGCGGCGCAGGCGAAGCATCGCAGGTGGTAGACATGTGCCTGCGCGCGCCTCACCACCTGCGTGGGCGGGATGCCCTGCCCGCAGCCCGCACACTTCGTGCCGAAGCGCCTGGGACAGCGGCCGCAACAACAACAACATTATCAAAGTGATATTGTCTTTGCACCACTCGTTAACGTCTTTAAGATGAGGTAAAGCTAGGCGTAAAGAATAAGCGGTTTTAACTACACCGCAAAAGAATAGTATGATCAAAATTTGATGGTTCGATATGATGAAATGAAAAATGAATGGCGCCACTGGTAAGGGCAAGTATCCTTTGGACCGGTTAGGTTTAACATACTATGAAAAGGTGGTGGTAGAAATATCTTTACCCGAAGAGCATGTGTATACTAATATTATAAAAGGAATGATTTGTTTGTGACATTGTTTGTTACTACTGAACCGATTTGCAAAAATCTTTCACTCCTGGGAAGCTGCACTGAAATAGGGTGACATAGCCTAAAATTATTACTAGATTTTTTATTTTCGCGCGGACGACGTCGCGGACAACTGCTAGTAGAATATAAACTTTAAATACATATAATAAAGTTTTTAAACGCTTATATCTACAGTAGAATATCTTATATGATGGCATTAACGTTCAATTAAATATACAGGTCGAAAAATTATTTAATAACAGGAAGAAAATTTCTTGAATGTGTTTGATTTCTCATTATTCACTAAGACGTAAACATTATATTGTAGTATGTAAAGAGACTTACTTGAAAAAGTCATCGGTGCAGTAGAGCTGGTTGTTTCTGGCGAAGCACTTGCCGGAGAGCATGGCGCGGCATTCGGCGCAGCGCAGGCAGCCCGCGTGCCACGTACGTTCTGACACCTTCAGCACGTACCGGTCCACGATCATCTCGTGGCAGCCGCCGCACTTCGGGATGCTGGCTGCACAATACACGGAACGTTAATCACTAAACCAAACAACTTAGAGCTAAGTTTTTATATCGTTCACAATAGTACCCCAACTTTAAAGACTTTTTTTTTTGTCTTGGTAAATACACAAGATGAAACAGCACATTTTTCTACCTAACTCTTTTTATCTCGGTTTAATTAAGGCTTTTTTTCTAATAAGTTATCAACACAACACTACGATTTCTCTCTATTAGTCCGGAATTTTCGCCTACCAGATGCAGGGTGCAGGTTGAAAGTTCCGTGGAGAGTTAAAATCTTATAACAACCCAACTATATTTTTGAAAGTTACACATCTTTCTGTTGTTATAAAATACGAGCGCGAACTGAGGCAGTAATCTGAAAGGATTGTCTGAGGCGAATTTGGGGTAGACAAAGATTTATAGTTATCACAAGTTTATTTCCTTTACACATTAGCAAACAGCCGTGGGTAGTATATAGATGCTTGTAATATTCGTGTTTAGGAACCACTCATCAGATAATAGTGTAGATATCCTATGCTAGCACTATCACACATTATTGGAAGACATTTATTTCATCCCATGTCACACTATCTTCATTCATCCCTTCTACACTGAAACACTTTGAATAAAATTTATGTATTATTATTGTTATTAAAAATTAAATCTGCTTAATTACATAATATAACACATATCGGGAGATGTATCGGAGAATGCAAAACACATTATACATAAGGGGCCATACGCACAAAAATTTCACAGACACTTATATCAAAATTTACGTACAAAGGAACACTTCTGGCAAATGTTCCAGTTGTATCGGCGGCACACGCATGTCAAGCTCCTCGTCTCCGGGGTACATCATAGCGAGCATTGCGACCGCCCCGCGCCGCGCCGTCAGCCGCACTGCCGCCCGCCGCCCCGGCCCCACACCCCAACCCTTATCACCAGCACGCCGCCATTGGCTGACATGTCTTCCCTGATAACGACCATCACGCCCCCCAACCAATACAACGATCCCGGCCCTCCCATTAATCGATCGCGAATCCGGCCTTCTGTATCGAACGCTTTACATAGCTCAAGTGCTTCGCGGCGGTACGCTTTTTTGTAATTTCAACGTAGATGCATTTAAAAGGTTTTCCTATTTCGTCACTAAAGTTATAAGCTGAATTTTGATTGAATCGGGAATAAATAAATAATCTAACAGTAATATAATATAACATCTTCATAATTTAAATTTTATTGGAAATGTTATTCAATTATAAAAACAAGCTACTAAAGATGGGTATGAGTACTATTTGACTACGTATTTAAAACATCTCTTTCTGATAAGCTTTATCATCATCTTCCTCGCCTTATCCCACTCATGGGGTGTTGGCGCACAAAATTTTACATGTTAATCTTTCTGACAAACTAATACTTTAATTTCTTAGGCTTAATTGTAACAACTGGTAGATTGGTAGTGTACATGTTAATGGAGGAAAAATTTGATTTTTTTTAATATTTGCATAATTGCTAAACGAAGAGGCACCTTGAGAGAGAGAGAGAGAGAGATAATTACTAAATATGCTTACATTAGAATAAAGTAAAGGTCTAATACTAGGGTTTAATGTTTAACGTGCTGATTTTATGTTTTGAAAGTTATAAGTATAATACGTCAAATATTTATTAAACTTATGCTGAGACACCACAAGAATTACCAAAAATAAATATAATGAAGTCAAGTTTAATTGCAGCAAACTACAAGTTTATGCAAGACATATTTATATGTGTTCTAATTTTGCAGGTACTGATTCACATGGAAGACCTGTTTATGTCTTTCCTTCTAATTAACTTAGTTTCAACTTAACTATTACGTTGTTTGTCTATAACAAACATTATTTGTATTTATAACATGCATAATGTAACTTATTTATTACAAATGATACATTTAACACATTTATAGAGCACAATGAAGTAGATCTTTAATGACTTGTCTATCAGTTTAAGCAATCCTGAGAACTCTGAAACTTTATTAGACAATTTTAAAGCCTATAAATTATGCAAGTGTTTGAATTCTGACCAAGTAATAATGTATACATCTTAATTCTATGTTAAGAATGAGGCCTTAATACTTAAGGTACGCGTCGATTAGCTCGCGCCGGACGCACCGCAAGCGCGGATTTAACGGATTTGGCGCAGATGATGGACACATCGCTATATATCATACAAAGCAAACTAAAATCCATTGCGGACAATGCGTGCGGTGCGTCCGGTGCGGATCAATGAACACGTAGCTTTAAATGTGTATTATACGTATTACAACTTATTCATTTTTTTTTTCGGAACAATAAATATCAAATGGTGCAACACTGGAGTGCAGGTGTACACTATTGGTACTTTTGCATCGTTACCAGCGTATCTAACAATCCTGTATCGTCTAAAGCGTGACTTGTACGCGTACAATAAATTATACAAGTGAACGCGAGGGCAGCCGCGTGTGCAACTTTACGAGGGCATAAATCACTGCCGACGTCACTCTGGACCCTCCCTCCACCCGCCCGCTGCCTCTCCCCCTCAGGATCGGCGACGTCCAGGAACAAAATGAACACGATAGTAAGCAAAACAAATCATTCGTTACGCCAGTGCGCGTGATTATGGAATGTTTATAATGTAAATAACATATAAACAACATCAGATTTATACTAATTTCGCTATTTCATGCTCTATGTACTGTGGTTGGTTAAATAATTTTCTTTAGTTATATTAAAGTTGTCATATAGGTTTTAGATATGTTAAGGCCCGTTTACACGATGCAAGTTTCTTGCCTAGTGCAAGCAATAATTGTGTTATACGGTCTAAACAAGAAATAACATTTTATTGAGGCACAATTATTATTGTTAACAATTATTTCTTGTCAAAAGCATTCAAAAATTATGTTCCGTTTTTAGCCAACAAGTTTACAATCTTTGAAGGTCAATTATTATGCACATTAAATTGAATTAAATTATTATTATTGCTTTGGTATGTACATACAAGAAAACGTATCGTATAAATGGTCCTTTACACAATCTAATTAAAAATGTACCTAAATATACAAAGTAGGTCTATGATTTCTTTTGTCGAACCACAATTATTAAATAATAAAATCGAAATAACTGTAAACGTCATCATTATATTTATGAATAGATCAGCTTTCGATTAAATATTTATTTTACAATTGATCACTAGCCTCACAATAGGACTTGTCGCAAATTGAATAAAAAAAGTTAGTGTCCCGATTCAGTACGTAATTGTTGCGGGTAGCGGCAGTCGCGTGCGGTCTCCCCAGGGTGCGGGCGCGTGCGCGGGCGCCGGTTCGTAATTGAGGGTTGATGCGCACTGCTAGCGCTTCACTCCTTCCAATACTTGATTATGGAGTCTGACAGCCGTGTAGTCGCTCGGAATCAATAAGTACTTTGAGATCGCCGTGTTTTGATCTAAAGTTTATGAGATAGAAAACATATTATGACAAGAGAACTAAGACTATAGTATACTACGTACCAAGTATAAGTAAAAAGTAAATTAAAATTTACTTATGAATTTTTATTATTTACAAATTCAACTAACACCGAGTCCATATCTTACGGTATACTATAGGAACCAAAAATAAAACTCCATAATTAAAATTTAATTCTATAACTCCAATTCGTACCTCGACGTTCTTGACTCCTTAAATAAATATTACTATCTTACAGTTTATCATTAAAATGCTGTACAATAGTTATAAAAGCAATTCAGTATAGATTCGTATCACTAAAATACACACAAATATTCATGTTCAACAGCATTCGTATTTGTCGCATTCCTTTTGATTTTCCCTTAGGCGTCGGCGGACGCGTGCCGTGGCGACGGCCTCCCGTATTAAGTTTCCATGGGAAACTAGCAATGTATTGAGCCGCCCTTACTAATAACATACAAATATATGTAACAATAATATTTTATCATCTGCTTAAAGTGCGTCGATCTATTTTGATACTCGTAAACTATTATTACACTGATTTTGTAAAAATATCGAACTATAGCAACTTCTAATTTTAAACTTCGTCTTTCTTTAGATATCGTGAAGATCTATTTGCTTAGATAGAATAGCCAATAGCGACATCGTCGTTGACATCCATTCAGTTTAAAATATTTTCTTTTCGCAAATTTTATTTAATCTTCCAACGAGAGGAGATCTATGTAAGTTTTTGTGATCTTTTACTATCGTTTCCTTCACAATGGTTTTTATGAAAACTTTCTTATTTCAAACTGGAAGTTATGTTTACTTTGACATGTATTACAGTCAAGTTGGTATTAACCGCTATAATCCTTGGTATATCAAAAGATTTCCACAACGTAAATATAGCTTCGATTTAATAGAAGATATTTCTTAGTTTAAAATTTTACAGTTGACTTACATTTTAAGACTTCAAAGTAAAATCTTTTCATGTTGTTGAATGAACTTGAAAAGAATATTAATCTTGAAGGGACAATAAATAATAACAATTACCATTCACTATAATTAGAAGTGATCTTGAACTTTTATTAGTAATATAAATATAATTAAAATTGCAATAAAAATCTTTTTAGAATGTTTTATGACTAATCTGTAGAGGTCATTGACATTTTTCAATAGAATTTTAAAATAAAGCGTAACATTTTGTTTACAACGAATTATACATGAACATAAGTTACTACGTATCTTTGGAATTGAATAATGTGAATAATTCGATGTTCCTTTTCACTGTTCACTCTGATTAAGTTAAAAGTTCAACTTAAATTATAAACAAAAAGCAGAGACGTGTCACCCGCCTGTCCCCGAAACAAACAGCTTTCTAATTCGATAATGTCTCTATGATTTGATTATAAGAGAACCGAAAAATTATATCATCTGATAATTAGATTAAAATGCAATTTAGAGATGCGCGGCGGGCGGCGCGCGCCTACAATACAGACAGTTTTATGGCATCTAGTGCTAGGGGTTCGTTAACTCCCAATAATACGGTGACTAAACATGGCCAGACGTCGCTACGAATGTAATTTTTTTCACTACAATAAGCAACCGATAATTTAAAACGGAATAATTTTTTTTCAAAATATCGAAGTTATTTTTAATTATAATTGCTACATTAAAATCTACAGGCGTTAGACATAAAATGGCTAAATGTAAGATTGTCTTTAATAAACCAGGTAGTTTTAATGTTGAAATTTATGTTAAAAGTGATTAAAAAAATAAAAGGAGTTTGCAATTATTTAAAATGTTCTACAACGCACAAACGAAGTACCAGGCATAAAATCAAAACTAATAAAACAAACTTTGGGTAGTGTCGTCGCCCCTCCAAAATGCGAGTCACCCTACTTATTAAAATTAATAAGTGGGTTCTTCGTCTGTATTAATGATCCCGCTGTGTCAATAACCGTGTTATATATTGAGTAAACAGCGTTAACCAGGCCATGGTAAACATAAAATAGCCTGGAGAAAATTTGTACGGTTTAGCTATAATTTCGTTCTGCTTTGTAAGGATGAACAAGTCAACATTCATTCTTGCACGCTTTTTTACGTAAGTTCGATCTACTTTTTTAGTTACACTCAACACAACTAACAATTTAGACAAATCTTTGGCAGCGACAATTTAGTAAATTAAAGGATATCGCTATTTAAAAAAAAAACTAAAAACCTCTTTATGTTTATAACTAGAAAAAAATAACGATACTTCTGGTACCGGTAGATAGAAGTTCTTTTATTATGCCTAAGTGAATGGAGACGCTAAGTAAACGCAAACATTTATGACTGAAGTTTATATACAATTTAGAAGTCTAACCGTCTCTATGAGAAGAATCTGAAACGTTTTACTTGCTGAAGTGCCTGCTCGACTCTTTGATCTACTTTT